ATTTCTGTGATAAATGTTTCCCTGTACTTCCAGGCTCCACTAAATTCACATTTTAGCATTGCTGTTCACCTTTAAATAGATATTTAAGGAGGTCAGAGTTATTTACGCTCTCAGGGTTTAATTAGGTGGCCAAGGCCACATTTTGGCTTCCAGTAAAAAGGTGGGAGAGCAGAGGGATGTGCTGGGCTGCAGGTGGGCAGCACTTCCCAAAGGGTGGGGCTGGGTGGGGATGGAGCCAAGGAACTGCACAGCACTGCCAGGGGAAGCACCCCACAAAATCCAGGGGGAAGCACCCCACAAAATCCAGGGGAATCAGCCCAAACCATGGAGGAACCATCCCACAAAATCCAAGGGAAACCACCCCACAAAATCCAGGGGAACCACCCCAAACCATGGGGGAACCACCCCACAAAATCCAGGGGAATCAGCCCAAAACATGGAGGAACCATCCCACAAAATCCAAGGGAAACCACCCCACAAAATCCAGGGGAACCACCCCACAAAATTCAGGGGGAATCACCCCACAAAATCCAAGGGAATCAGCCTAAACCATGGGGTACCACCTACAAACTCCAAGGGGAACCACCCCACAAAATCCAGGGGGAACCACCCCATAAAATTCAGGGGAATCAGCCCAAACCATGGAGGAACCATCCCACAAAATCCAAGGGGAACCACCCCACAAAATCCAGGGGGAACTACCCCACAAAATCCAAGGGAATCAGCCTAAACCATGGGGGAAACACCCCAGAACCATCCCACAAAATCCAAGGGAACCAGCCCAGGGGAACCACCCCCCAAACCACAGGGGAGCCACCCCCCAAGCTCCAGAGAAAGCTGGAGCATAGAACCCCATCAAGCTCTGCTGTCTCCTTGGGCAGACACAAAAAGACTGAAAAGGCTCCAAGCCACCCCCGAGCTGCCTGGGCACAGCTTTAGCTGCCGTGCAAAGCCAGCCCTTCCTCCAGCAGCTCCTGGCAGCTCTGCCTCCCTGCCCCAGCCCTTCAGGGGATGAAACCTTCCATCACCTCCCAAATGAACCCAACTGGGCTGAGCCCTTAACCCCTCCCGGGCCCCGTGGCACCTGCAGACCCCCTCAGCAGATGGACGTGGGCAAAACCTCGTTTTTACTCAGCACTTTTACTGGGTGGAGGCAGCAAAGTGGGAGAAGAGAACCAAAAACTGAGTTTCAAGTGTAGCCACAATGGCAATAAAAGCCTTTGCATGGATTTAGTCTTGCTGGAGTGAAATTTGTGTGGCTGTGTCTCTGGCGGGGCTGCTCTGCTGGAAGCACCAAAATCCTTCTGGTGTGGCCCTGGGGTTCTTGGGGTAAAGAGAATTTTTTCTATAACATCTAAGATTGGTTCTGCTCCGTAGCTGGCGTTGGGAATGTTGATAGAGCATTTTGTGGCAATAAACAGGGAGTAATAAAGTTATCTAGCCCTGATTGCTGAATTTGATGAAGGGCTCCCGAACAGGGCATTTGATCATTATGTGCCTTTTCAATATCTAAATATATGAAGGTTTAAAAAAAATTAAAAATATTTTTAAAATAGAAAAAAGATTGCTTCAGCTGAATTTTACAAGCAAATTTTTCACAAGCAATTATTTTCTTTCACTCATGGCAGCCTAGCCAGGGCTCAAAAGCCGCAGAGAGAAAAGCTTCCTGTGATGATGGAGTCCCAACATTCTGGGCTACTTCAGTTTATTTGCCAAAGCAATAAAATTTCAGCCTATACCAGCTCAGAATCTATTTCTCCAATGGACTCGAAACTGCTGACAGCAAAAAAAAAGTGAAACCTCTGCAGCTTAATCCCCACTTCCCCTCTGTTTTCCAGACAACTCCAGTGAAGTGATCACAAACATCCCTGAAAGTGGCGCCCAAAGATGAGTCTGCAGAATTCTAATTGTGTTTTCGGTGTCATTGTGTTTTAAATGCCATCGTGTTGAGGCCTGTCCTGTGATCAGAATAAAGGACCTTGCTGCGTGCAGAGGCAGGTGAAGGGGCACTGCTGGATTCTGCATCACCTGGGCTGTGATAAAGGAGGAATTTGGAGTTTGTCCTTTCCGGTTTAAAGTTGAATCTCCGGTGCTTCCTGTGCACGAGGTTCTTTCCTCTGCCCTGCAGCAGGTGACAGATTTAAGAGGAAATGATGAAGTAAAAGCAAAGAGTGGTGATAAGAAGTTTATTCTTCTTCGAGGCTTTTGAGAGTTTGTTTCCAGAAAATGACACTTCTTGAAGGAATTTGTAAGCATCTTCAGCCTGCTCAGGGCTGCTGCAGAATTTCCTGTTTTTGTGTTTTCAGAGCTGCTGAGCTGCTGAAATTGCCAGTAAAGCCCAGGGTGTGCTATCCAGAAGAGGTGGAGTCTATAACAAATCCAGATTTCTCACTGATATTCTCAGAGATTGTGTGACTGGACAGAATTCCACCTCCAGTCCCACAGCCACAACCCCTCTGTGTTTATCTCCTGACACACCATCCTTCCATGCAGGAAACCATGGGGATTTCTGCTTTAGGAATGGCTTGAAAGCCAGCTGCAAACATTTACATCCCAAAAGGCGTCAGGTGTTCATAAAAAAACCTGATTTTGTTGTGGGTGCAGAGCTGTGAAACACAAACTGGAAGTCAGGGCCTGGCTCAGCGTGAGCAGACTCGGCTCCCAAAGTGGAGGATATTAAACTTCCAAGGGGGCAGATCCCGCTCACATTCCCTGCTCTGGGGCAGATGGGTCTGGCATGGCCAGCAGGGAGGGATTTGGTGCTTTCTAGGCACTCTCAGAGGAGTTTATGGCCCTGCAGCCCACCTGGGAATGCACAGTGGGAGCTGAGCTCAGCTCCAGACACACAGAACCCCACTGGGAACCTGCAAATAAACCTCTGCATGCTGTCAGACAGCATTTCTTGCACAAAAGCTTGCAATTTGGATCCATTCCCTTTTATATTTATCAGATGTGTAAAACCCTTCCAAAATGCCCCCATGAAACACTCCCTGAGACCCTTGATCAGCATGATCTGCTCCAGTTGTGCTCCAAAGCATAAAAGCAGAGAATATTGTTGACAACGGGCTCCAAAGGCAATGTTTGGCCTTGGCTGCTCTTTTCCTTAGTCCTGCAGCCCTTTCCAAAGCTTTGATTTCCAAATGACTTGTTAAGCTTTCCTGGACATGAAAGCTGCACTTTAATATTCCTTATATCCATGTGGGATGCAGAAATTCCGCTGAGGTGGGCATGCTTCCCTAAGATTCCCTAAGACCTTTCTGAGCTAGGGATGCTTCCCTAAGACCTTTCTGAGCTGGGGATGCTTCCCTAGGTTTTCCTAAGACCTTTCTGAGCTGGGGATGCTTCCCTAAGACCTTTCTGAGCTGGGGATGCTTCCCTAAGATTCCCCAAGACCTTTCTTCCTCTCGGTGGCTGCTATGGGGAGCCTCAGTGGCTTCCTCAAAGCTGCTGGTGCTGCTGCTGGCAGGAGGAATCAAACAAAACCAGGCAGTTCCTGCGTGGAGCCCATGCCAGCTCTCAGAGTGGTTTTATTTCATCTGCAATGAGAGCCCTGTGCCAGGGAGGGCACCCACAGCCACTCGTGGTTCTTGTTTCTGTGCCAGGAGCGTTTCCTCACTCCTCAAATCAGCCCCTTTGCCAAGTGATGGGGTCAGGGCAGCAGCCCAAATCCCTGGGAGCAGAGAGTGCCCTCAGCACAGGCCTGCTCCCAAAGGGGAGAGCTCTTCTCCTCCAGAGAAAGCCTGCTCTAGCCAAAATATAAAAATAATTTATATCTACACAGTCTATAATATAGTAATATATATATATATATATATAGTAATATATATATATTCTATATATATATATTCTGTATTTTCAGCCTGGAAAAGAGAAACTTTTTTTCTCTTCCACTGCCTGAAGGAGCTGCAGGAAAAATGGAGAAAAAGGATTTCCAAGGGATGGAGAGGCTGGAAACAGGGAATGGAGGTTTGGGTGGGATACAGGGGAGGAATTCCTGGTTGTGAGGGTGGGGAGGGGCTGGGATGGAATTCCCGGAGCAGCTGGGGCTGCCCTGGATCCCTGGCAGTGCCCCAGGCCAGGCTGGACACTGGGGCTGGAGCCCCTGGGACAGTGGGAGGTGTCCCTGCCTTGGCACTGGGTGGGCTTTAATGCCCCTTCCCACCCAAACCCCTCTGTGATTCTGTGCTAATATAACTGATCACAATCATAATTTTTATTTGAAAATTACTGAAATACTCTTACTGAGGTAATCACAGCAGTGTGATCACATCATTTATTCCCCATGCTTTGATAAGAGCTCCTGTCTCACACCTGGCACTCCCACAGCCCTGTGTGACCACGGGGGTTGTCTCCCTGCCTGTGCTTTATTCAATTCAGTCTCGTGTCATGTAGATTTTATTTTATTGTTAAATTTTATTATTAATTAAAATATTAAATTTTGTTATTAATTTTATTTATTAAAGCTTAATTTTATTTCTTTCTTTCTGTGGAGCAAAACTGGGTAGGACAACCCCAATTCTTTCATGCTGGGGCTGCACAGGAGTCACTGGTCCTGCCCAGAAGGACAAGGAGGGGCTGTGGGTCAGGCTGGAAACCTGGGAGCAGTCCCCAGGGATGGAGAAATCCCTTTGTGTGGCATCAAAGTGCCAGTGGGGGGAGCAGAAAGAGCCTTTGTAACTAAAGAACCTCTGGTCTGTGCTCTCTGCACAGAACCAGCTGCAAGTTTTGGCTGGGCACCCCAAAGCTGCAGCCAAAACCCCACAGAACTGCAGGGGCTTTTCACCTCTGTCCTCTCTGCTTACTAGAAACACAGTTCTGCAGAATTTACAGAATTCTCCCTTGCTTTCCAGGTGTAATCTTCACTCAGATAAAGAGAGGATAACTATTCCCTCCACAGGCAAGGTTTGTCTGTGCTGATTTATAACTTAATGTCACATCAATCATCAGACCACGGGGGATGGAAATAACAAACTTGGTTTGAGAACTGAAGCAGCAACTGATTTTTTGTTTCAAAGGATAAGTATTAGTTTATTTAAAGATAAGGATGTCAAAATATACAGTATTGCATCATTAAGATCAGTGTGGATTAAAACGTCAGGTCCCTGGCTCCCTATACAGGCTAGGATGGAACGAGCAGAAATCTTAATTTTCTGTAAAATTTATTAACTACAGTTATTACAGGAGTCTTGTGAAGCAGAGAGCTGCCTGGGCAGCTTTGATTTTGGCTTTTATTAGGATTAATTACAAGTATGGATATAAACAAACATCGGGATGAACAACTAAAGTTTCCTACGACCTAAGGAACATTAATTGCGGGCTGGCAGGCACAGCCCGGCGTTAGGGGATGTGGCTGCCCTCTTGCGTCCTATTAGAACCTTAAATAGCTTTTAATTAGTTATCCCACCCGCCCGGCCAGGAGAGGAGCCGCCTCAATGGCGTCAAGCCTTTGCATTTTAGCGCTTTAATTTCCACTGATGAGCCGGGGGAGCAGGGCTGGGTCACCAGGGGCTGGGTCGGGCTGAAGGCTCCGCTGCACTTCAGCTCTGCGGGAACCCCAGCAAAGCCACTGAGCTGCTGTTCGGCTGCAGCAGAACATTTCGCAGGGGATTTGTGCTTTCCTGGCTGCCCTCGAGCTCTCTCAAGTGAAGGATCCTCTGCCCGGGCCTCGCTGCCATCCTCTGCCACGTGCTTTGCTTTTCTGTGCCATTCATTGAATTCTGTAAATCACAATGGGCTGAAAAATCCTATATGAAACCGGTGGTAACCTTGTGCAGCTCTGGCAGATTCTCTGCTTTTCCTGCCATTTATTGAATTCTCTGCCACCCTCATACCTAACTTACCCTCCACTTAACTCACTTCATCCACAGCACCTTACCTTTAACACATTTCATGGGGATCTTTAGAGCTGCTTTCTACAGGTGAGCAACAAACCCTGCCAGTGACTACCTGCAGTGATACCCCGGGGTTTGCTTCAGCCTCGGGGGTTTGTGGCAGCGTGGGGAGGAAAAGGAGTTATTCCTGCTGCCAGAAAGGAGTCATTTCTGCTTCCAGAAGGGAGTCATTCCTGCTGCCAGAAGGGAGTCATTCCTGCTGCCAGGAAGGAGTAATTTCTGCTGCCAGGAGCTCCCCGAGAGCTGCTGAGCCTCCCTTCAGCAGCCACGGCTGGGCACTACTTGGATTTCCCAGCAGGGAGGATGGACACGGGATCTGTCTGCACTTCAGCATCCGACATCCTTTTGGAGCCCTGTGGGACGAGAGAGACACCTTTAGGAACATTTCCAACTCTTTCGGAGTGGTCAAGTCTGGAATTGTGTCCTAGACTTTTGCTGCCAGGTATTTCTCACTGATTTAATCTCCCTGCTTCTCTTCATTTAATATGCACAAATATATGAGCACCATCTGCATCATGAGAACCACACGAAGTTGCTGCCTAAATGTGGGGGTTATCTCAATATAATTGTCTCAATTGGCATGGAAACAATTGTTTTCAGGAGCTGGGCTCACACAGCAGAGCCAGGCTGCTGTGTGTCTGTAGTACTGGAGTTTTGGCATAACTTTCCCTAACATTTCCCTGCCCTAAATGCTTCACTGCAGCCCTTCTAAGAGTCCTTCAAGCATGATGAATGGTGTATTCTAGCCAGCCCTGCTCTAGGTTAAAGGAACATTAAATACTTTTATGCATGACAGGTATTCGACAATGTTCGAGTGATAAAGGTTTTTTTTACACTGCAAACATAATTCTAGGTTTGGAACCACTCCAAGACACTAATCCAGCTTAGATGAAGGAAATGTATAGCTCTAACTATACCAACTACATTTTTCACTAACTGATAAAAACTTGGCTCTGGTTTAACGTGCTTGACCTAATTTTGCTGGCCTTGAAGCTGCCAAAACTTCAGCAAAACGGACCCACAAGCAGTGTTTGAGGTCACTGTTAGCACTGCGGGGTGTCAGTGCTGTTTGTAACCCAAATCATGCCTTGCTAAGCAGAAAATCCAGCAGGACAAAGCTAAAGGTGACTCTGTGCTTTCCCTAGGATAGGAACCAGGCAGAACAATGTGTGAATTGTCCTTCCCTGAGGCTTCTGTGTTACACACGGAGAGTGAAAGGTCTCGACTTATTCATCCCCTTCAGGGAAGTAAAACCAGCAAGGTTTTTGCACTGATAAGACTCCACCTCACTGATCTTTCTTTAATTTTTCACCTTGGAGGATCTAAGTATGAAAATGAGCAGCCAAAAACAACAATGGACTGAAAAATCCCATCTAAAACTGATGGTAACCTTGTGCAGCTCAGCTGCCTGCAGTGGCTTTGCTTCTGCTTCCCCTGATGTTGAGTTTGGAGGAAGCTCTAGAGCAGAATAAATGGGTTTGGCCACTTACAGGTAGCAGCGAATCCATCATTTATCCATCAGCCAATACTAAGTGAGCTCTTCGTTCCAAATTTACCCAGAAACCCTAAAAAACCTCCACATCAGGTAAGGATTTTCCATATCACAGGAGTAATGGGGTCTGCCAGCTCCAGCTCCTGTCTGAACATGATGAAGCGACTTCTAAACTGATTAGGGAATAAGATGATAAAATTTGCCTTTCTTCCTATAAAAGGGTGGAGGGAGGAGACAGGAGAGGAGGCTCCTGGGAGATAATTCCCATTTTTGCCTCATTTAGCACTCGCTTTGCTGCAGTCTCCTGCTGCACCCATTTTCAAGGTGCTTGCTGATTAAAGCAGGAAGATCAGCCTGGCTGATGATTCCTGTTGAACTGGAATTTCCAAGCCCTTCTTTCTCCTGAAAGAAAGAACTTTGTTCTGCCTTTTTTAATGGACAAATTCCAGCTCTGCCCTGGGATTCAGGAGCTCAGGTACCACCAGCTCATGGCTTTGTGGCAGCGAGGTTGGAACATTTGGGCAGAGCATTTTAAAGTGCACACACAGCAAAATAGTGGTGCTGGAGTACTTTTTCCACCAGATTTTGCTCAGGAAAAGCCTGGCTCAGTGCAGCACATCCTCTGATCAGAAAAAACCCAAATACTTTCCACGTGCTGAGCACTCCCAGCTCCTGACAACTGCACTATGAGTTATTCCAGCTCAGGAAACAATGTTATTAATCTTTTTTCCCCCCTTTTTCTTTCTAATCTAATCTTTCAAAGACTCCCTTAATACACTTGCTACAGTTTATAAATTAATCTCTTTTACCATAGGAACAACCTTATCTGTGCTCAAACCCCGCAGCTGGGCACTGATGCTGTTTGCTTGCGAGAATGGCTCCAGCTGTAGCCAAAATTTCAGCATTTGTAGCCCAAATTTTGGCATTTGTAACCCAGCAGCTGGGAGCAGAGGCTGGAGCTGCAGTGTTTAATCTGCACTCCTGCCCTGTGGCATCCTCCTGCTCTGTGCCATTCCCAGGGGACTCAGGATCCAGGAGAGGGTGGTGTTAAAATCCAGAACAGGAGTTGTTGGGTGGGCACAAGCTGGCTGAGCTGCTGATCCCCTCTCCAACATCTCCTGCTCCCATTTTATCAACTAAAAGCTGAATTTCTCTGCGGAGTTGCTCGCAGACAATCGAGCTGTTACCTTGGGATGGCAACGCTGGCACTGGTTGGTGTCTGTGATCTAATTATTTTAGATCAATGATTGCAACTTCTGATCACCTAGGAGATGAGGAGATTATTTTTTAGATTGAAGAATGAGTTTCTTAGTTCCTGGTAACCTTGAGGATATTCTAAGAGAGGTAATAATAATAATAATAATAATAATAATCCATAATTCTATTTAATGAGAATTTTTCCCATATACGGACTTCATTGTTATGTGGTTTGCTGCCACGTTGAAGCACAATAAAATGACCAAACCAACTTCACTGTTGTCAAAAATGTCTCTTTTTTTAGAGTTAACAGGAAAGGGAAGCTGCAGGAGCACTCTCTGTAATTGCAGCAGAAGATAAGGCACTGCACAGCCAAACTGAGGCAGAGTGAAAAAATAAATCCTACAGAACTTCTCCGCTTCCTCTACACTGATTCTGTTTTATTCCTCAAACGGTCTTTTTCCCTCTCACAATCTCCTCCTGATCTAAAAGCTTTTCTTGCCTTTTCAATCTGAGCCACCTTTCCTGCCTCTCTTCTTTCATGAATTTTGAAGGTGTTTCTGCACTCCTTCAGATCTCCCTTCCTGGAAGAATTCTAAATGTGTGTCTCTTGTTAAACTCCACGAAGGAGTTTTGATTTTGATCCCCTCCCTTGATTTGGAACTTGCAGGGATTTTGTCTTGCAGGGATTTGCTTTGGCAGGGATGTCCCAGCTGCACCCCCACGGGGGCAGGCAGGTTCCCTTGGTAAACCAGCCCCACCTCCACTTTCCCTTAATTTTTTCTTTTTATTTTAATTCCCTGTAATTTGTAGGAACATCGAGCCATTGAGGCACGAACCCCAAACCCAGCGCTGTGCCAACAATTCCTGGGTCAGCACCCAGGCCTGAATTTTCCTTCCTTTCCCAAAACCTTGCTGCTCCTTGGCCCGAGTTGAAGCTGAAGCACAAACCCCACATGGAGCAGAACCTGCGTGCCTAAACCAGCTGGAAAACAGCAAAAAAAATAATAAAAAAAAGGAAGAAAAATGAACGTACAAGGCCTTTAAAAAACCCTCCCAGGGACTGCCTCTTCTCTGTCTTCTTGTAGGAGGGCTCCTTGCTGTCGCCGCCGTTGTGGATGGAGTCGGGCTCAGGTGCTGGCTGCTCCCGGGGCTCTGGCTGCTCCTTGCCCTTCTGCTTGCCCAGCTCCAGCGTGGATTTCTTGTCTTTGGAGCCCTCTTTGCTCCTTGGGCCCCCAGGGTCGCTCTCGGGTGGGGCAAGAGGCTTCTCCGTGGCGTTCAGAGTCTGCAGCGGTTTCAGACAGGGTGTTTTTAGTGGGGAATGGAAAGAGTGCAGAAGGAGATCCATAAAAATGTTAGGGGAAAAAAAAAAATCATAATTGGAAAAATGAACGGGCACCTGGCAGGAGGAATCCTGCTGCCCCAGCGGGTTTGCATTTCCCCAGGTTGGGGTGAAGTCCTGCAGTGTTGGCTCAGGGAGCTGATGGAATTCCATGAGCAAAGGCTGCAGGATCAGAGCATCCCTGCCTGGAGCAGCTGCACTGGTGGGACTGCTGGAGTGGGCACAGAGTCACTGCCCACTGCAGCACCCCCAGAGTCTGCACCCCGAGCTCGGAAAGCACCCAAAAAGTGCGAGGAAAAGATCCGAGAGAGGACAAAAATCAAAACACAAAGCAAAGGATGAAAACAAATTCCCTGTGAATGAGCAACACTCCAGCCAAAAACTAACAACACAGGGTTTGCCTGTGGAAAGCCAGAATATGATAGAAAATTTCATGTACAAGGGCAAAAGAACAGACAGGAAATCTTCCAAAAAACCACAATCACAAAGCACCTGTCTAGAGTAAAGGGGAAGATTCTCGAACTCAGAGAAATTCAGGATATATTTGAATTTCACACAAGAAAAATCATACCTGGCAAGCAAAGGATCAGACAATGAAATTGTCACTGTTTGGAAAGTAGTAAATGAGGGTGTTTTTGCCAGGAAATCTGTCTGTAAATTGGATTTTCCTTTTTCTTATGAAAAAAAACCAAAACAACAAAACCCAAACCCATATGGCTTTATTTATTGCCATCAGTAAAAGAGCACAAATTTGCCATGTTGAAAAGCTGGAAATCTCACATCTGCTCTCAGACCATGGCTCAAGCTTAAGGCTGTGTATTATTCCAGCATTGGGAATTTTACCATTAGTTTTGAAATATTTGGTGTTTTTCTGAAGGCCTGGGGTTGTGTGCTCACACGCCAGGCTTAGCTTACATTCAAAACAAAAACATTTTTAGATATCATAATTTCAGAGAAAACCCTGAAAGCAGAAACTCTAGAGAAACAGAATGCAATACACCTCTTGTATTTAAAAATACAAAATGTTCAAGCCTGTCTAATTTTGGGGAAACAAGAAGGAGAGGGGACAACAATCCTCCTGCTTGCCTTTTTCACTCAATTCAGCTCCTTGCTACCATATCTTTGAAAAGTTCCATGTTTAAATCACAGAAACTATTTAATACAATCAAACTTGACCAGGGGACTCAACTCCTTCACTAAATATGAGGTTTTGGAGTGATTTATTTTTCCAGGGATTGATATATGTGGGCAAATATTTCCTCACACCTGGATTGCTCTACTCTTACACTTAAAAAATCCAGTCTTGTCCTAAAAGATCCAGCAGCTTGTCTTTGTGCAGGACAAGGTGAAGGAGGGGATTTATAAATTTTTCAAGCAGGTTCAGTGGGGTCAGGGGGGAGCAGAGCTGTGGTCTGGGCTGGGTCATCTCACCTGGGAAGTGACACTTTGCAGTGCCCAGGGGATGCAGGAGGATGGACACCAAGAACATTTCAGGCTCACTTAACTCTGGGAGCTCTGAGCTGCTGCCCCAGCAGCTCTTCCCAAATCCCTTCCCACTGGAATTGGCCCCAGCTCACCTCTGGAATGGCTCAGTTAATTCTGGGAGCTCTTCCCAAGTCCCTTCTCACTGGAATTGGCCCCAGCTCACCTCTGGAATGGCTCAGTTAATTCTGGGAGCTCTTCCCAAGTCCCTTCTCACTGGAATTGGTCCCAGCTCACCTCTGGAATGGCTCAGTTAAATCTGGGAGCTCTTCCCAAAACCTTTCTCACTGGAAATGGACTCAGCTTACCTTCGGAATGATTCCCTGGCGAAATTTTAAATGTTCACCTTTGCTGCAGCGACAAGCACAGCTCTGGGGCTGAGCCCAGACTCTGAGTTCAGAGGGGCCAGAGGAGCCTGGAACCCTCAGAAACACTCGGTGAAATCTGTGGCTTTGCTCTGTGGGTGTAAAATTAGAGTTTTTCCTCCCCACACGTGCCCAAGACGCTGCAGCCAAAGCAGAACCGTCCCCATGGCTGAGAGCAGGTGAGGCCTTTGATGTCAGGCAGACAAAACACTTTAAAAAAAATATTCATAATACATTTTTCCAGGCAAAAAATACCCAAGTCGAACCCTATCAGATAATCTCTTTGAGGTGTTTCATATTAACCTTGAAAGGCAGGAAATGGGCAGATTTGATATTGATGGAAGCAGCTCAGGAAATGCGGAGTGAGGCCAATGAATAATGAAAGATTTGGATGTTCCTTATTCCAAAGAGGAGCTGCTCCTGGCAGTTTGCTTTGCCTCCCTCAACATTAGCAGTGCCACTGAACTAAAAGAAGAAAAATGCACAGCATTTTCCCCGTTATCTTACAGGAGACCTTGGGCCAAAGCTGATTTTTATACCCAGGATTTCTGTGGTTTTGGAGCAATTTCTGGAGGGTGAAGAGTGGCAGGGATGAGGAGAAAAATCACAGCATTCCAGAGGCACTATGGCATAATTTAAGGAAATCCTTTCAAAGAAATCCCCAAAAAAGGAAAAAGTCAACAGCAGATCCATTTTTCCTTGGGCTCCTCTGAGGAATAAAATTGTTCTGCTTTACACCAGGGCAAGGAAGAGAAAGAGGAAGAACAATAAACTGATTTACAAAAATGGAAGGAAGCTGGCTGCCCATTAAAATAATAAAATAGATCCAAGCTGAAACTTTTGGTGTCTTACTCAGATCACTTCACAAAGCTCTTCCATGAAATAAGGATTAAGTGTCACAAGACAAGGCCCTTCTATATTTAGGATGCTTTTAGAGACATAATTCATAAAAATTAACCTTGGTGTCATCAGACATTGTGAAAATAGGAAAAGAGAGATATAATTTTACAGCTATTTATAAAAGGAAATTCTGAAATGTCAGCTGTGAATGCAACTTCAGTTTTCCTCTTAAAGGAAACTCTCAATAGACAAAACCTTGTTTTAGTTCTCATTACTGAGGGGTGAATTCTTCTGGATATCTTTACTTGCAAGTGAGGGTTTCTCTCAAATTAATAGAATTTGTATTTCTAATGAAAATATGATTTTTCTGAAGCATTTTGAAAGCCATGAAGAATAGAATGCAAATACCACACCCAAAGGTTGGGTTTAGATTTTATAAACACAGAATGAAAGAAACAAAAACAGAACAAGAAACAAATATTTTCATGGCTTTTGTTACATTGCAGTGCACAGTTTTCATTCTCATTTTCGGTTCTCTTTTGTAGAGTTTCCACCTAAATGATCCTTTCCTCAGAAGACAAGTAAATCAACAAAGTAAAAATAATTCTGTGTGTTTTTAGTTCCACTGCCTGAGCCAAGGTTCTTGCAGAAAGTCAAAAAGCAGCAAGAGAGAGGAAGAAGACTGAACACAGACACACTGATCACTGATTATTTTAACAAAAGGAACACACCCNAAAAAAAAAAAAAAAAAAAAGATGACTCTTTAAAATCTTGTTTAATATTATGGATAGATCAAAGAAACAGAAAAGTTATGAGTAAATACACGAAGCTCAGGGAGTGCAGCACTTTCAGTGATTTTACATTTCAAGAGGCAGAGCTGTGTGGAAGGAGGTGACAAGAACCCATCACCAGAGGATGAAGAAGTCCAGGCCAAAAACACAAAGTCCACTTACGTGGTGTCTGGGGCTGGGACCATCTCCCTCTCCTGAACGGGGGGTCCCTGCATCCCCCTTGGCTGGCTAAAACAACAAAGGGTCCTGTTTGAGAGCTGCATTTGGGATGAAAACTCCCAGGAATCAAGGCTGGAAAGCACTCTGGAAATACCCAATGTCCAGGGTGGGTTTTGCAGGTTCTGTTCTCTGGGATTGTCTCTTGCCAGTCAGGTTTCCCATCAAAGCCTGAGCAGGGATCATTTCAGCCACTAAACAAGAACCTGCTGCCAGAGTTTTCTAGGAAAGAGCTTTTCTTTGCTTTCCAGAGCCAAATCTGTCCTACAAGACCTAGTGGGACTTGCTCTCTATTTATCCACCCCACTAAGTGCATGTGTAGTGAATAATTAAAGCCCATCAGCTTCAGAGGGATGTTTCCATATTTTGTCATCAGCATCCATTTAATCCTGATTTTTGCTTTCCAGTTGATTCATGCAGTCCTTAAATCTCTAAATAATAATCCTCCTTGATTCCCATACCTCCCAGCCAGGACAATCCAAGCAGAGCCTGAGGCTGCAGCACTGGAAGGTCACTCAGAGCGAACCTTGGCTCTGAAATATCTTTTAAAGGTAAAAAACCCATTTCCACCTAGATTTAAAAGTGAGAAACCTATGTTTGACCAAACTGAGTAAATAATACAGTGAGAATTAGGTTAGGCTTAAGTTACAATTAGTACTACAAAAGGGACGACAGGAATAAACATTTGTGTTTAAAAACATGTTGGAGAGTTCAGTGTGTTCTCCTGGGTGCCACAGAATCCAGAGAGATCAGCAGCAAAGCATAAAATAAACTGCAGGATTTCAGGGCACCCAAATTTAAATGTCATTTTTCATTGCAGAAGTTCAATGAAAACAATGAAAGGATGTGACTTTTGTTCTAAATTTATCTCAGGCGGAGCTGTGGTTTGCTGCAGCTCTACATTTGTAACGTGAAGCACAACAGCACCAATGCCACAGATGGGGTTACTGCAACCCTGATTTTCCTACAAAACCACGGAAATCAATGCATGGCAGCAGCAGGAGAGAAAATTCAACCACTCCATGACAATTCATGGCTTTTGTGGGGAAATGCCTGTGCCTGGAAGGTGCCACTGCTGAGCCTGGCACGGGTTTGTGCTCAGGGAGCTTTATCTGTGCAGGGGAGGAAGCACAGTGTGGTCTGTGCTGGGGACAAACCCGCTCCAGAGTGCATCAAGATGGGCTGGGACAAGATCTACTCTGCATTTCTGTTTTACCAAGTCCTCAAATTCCTTAAGAAAAAAACCAAACCTGCTCTAACAGCAATCAGCGTTACCTTTTCCCCTATAAACACCCCAAACCCAGATAAAAACAGCCCTGCTTTAGCCAACCTCTCTAACCCACCTCGTATTTTTATTGTTATTATTATTTTTAACAAAAAATAACAGAGTAAAGACCTTGAGGTCTAGACAAAGCTCCCTCTTGCTGCCAATGAGACGAGGATGAAACAATCCCAAGGATTTCTCTCCAGAGCCCTGCTGACCCCTTATCCTTGCCTCTGGTCACTTGGGCTTGCTGCTGGCCAAGGCTGCCCACAGAGTTTTCTGCAGCCAGCAGGGTGGGATGCTTTTAAATGGAGGAGGGTGGGGACAGCCAATACCCTGCTACATTTTCATCTATAGCTGTGACAACATAAAAGAGTTACTCTCAATTCTAAATGCTGTTGATTGCCTAAATTTGCTTATGTGGGGAAGCAGGGCAGCGCAGGGAGTGCAGATGGTTTGGGAACAATTTTCCTCTGGGAAGCAGGATTAGATTCTGCTTTCTGCCTTTCCTCTTTCCCACCTGATGGATTTTCCCACTTTGCAGGAGTGACTGCCTCCTTTCCTTTCACATGCCAATTTACCTAATCTACATAAACTCCCAAAAAAAAGCCGTGCCACTAAAAATACAACTCCCCAAAGCCAGTGTAGGACAGGACACAGCACAGGAGGACTGCCAGTGCCGTGGCCAGCGGGAGATGGGTTTGGGGCTGGGGTTGGAGACGGGTCCCTCCAGGAGCATCCCACGGGGGGATGCGGTTTGTGAAGAGCAGCATCCTCGGTGTCGCGGCCCCTGGAGCTCCCTGGGCCACCTCGGCGGGGAAAGGGCCACCGGAGCCCTCGGGACATTCCGGGAGGAGCCGCGAGAGGGAGATGCAGGACGGGGAATGCGCGGGGGGATGCGGGGGAGAAGTCCCAGCCTTGCATCCCTGAGCACCGCCCACCGCTGAGCATCCGTCATCCCTGAGCATCCCTCAACACCCTTCATCCCTCAGCACTGTCCATCCCTGAGCATCCTTCATCCCTGAGCATCCCTGAGCATCCTTCATCCCTCAGCACTGTCCCATTCCTGAGCATCCTTCATCCCTGAGCATCCCTCAGCACCCTTCATCCCTCAGCACTGTCCATCCCTGAGCATCCTTCATCCCTGAGCATCCCTCATCCCTCAGCATTGTCCATCCCTGAGCATTGTCCATCCCTGAGCATCCTTCATCCCTGAGCATCCCTCAGCACCCCTCATCCCTCAGCACTGTCCATCCCTGAGCATCCTTCATCCCTGAGCATCCCTCATCCCTCAGCATTGTCCATCCCTGAGCATCCTTCATCCCTGAGCATCCCTGAGCATCCTTCATCCCTCAGCACTGTCCATCCCTGAGCATCCCTCATCCCTCAGCACCCTTCATCCCTCAGCATTGTCCATCCCTGAGCATCCTTCATCCCTGAGCATCCCTCAGCACCCCTCATCCCTCAGCATTGTCCATCCCTGAGCATCCTTCATCCCTGTCCATCCCTGAGCATCCTTCATCCCTCAGCACTGTCCATCCCTGAGCATCCTTCATCCCTCAGCACTGTCCATCCCTGAGCATCCTTCATCCCTCAGCACCCCTCATCCCTCAGCACCCCTCATCCCTCAGCACTGTCCATCCCTGAGCATCCTTCATCCCTCAGCACTGTCCCATTCCTGAGCATCTCTCATCCCTCAGCACCCCTGCACCCTCCCAGACAGAGGCAAAGTGTTTCCCAAGCCTCTCCCCGGATCCCTGAGCCCCGAAGGGAAAAGCTGCTCTTACCAGCTTGAAGAACTTCCTGAGGTTTGCCTTGGGCGTTCTGCTCTCGGCCGCTCGCGGCTTGGCCCCGGCGCTCTCCGCGCTCTCGCTCTCGTCCCGGGCCGGAGCCGCCGCCTCGGGAGCCGCCTCTGCCTTCTCCCTGCCCGCGGCCTCTGCTTCTTCCGAGCAGTTCTGCGGGGCCAAACACAGTGGCAGCAACCTCCTGACTCCAGCCCTGAGGAGCTGGGTCATTTCTTAAAATTTTACAATCAAACGGGGCATAAAAACATCCTCAGTCTCACTGTTCTCTTCATGTTGCTTTAGGAATTTGATTGATCCCAATTGAAAAGCGCAGAGAGCTGCAAAAAACACTGCCCAGTTAAATTAGGCTTAGTCAGCTATTCAGGGATTGAATTGTTTCAAAAATCTGGGATTTTTTTGCATGCTTCTTCAGGAAATTCTTCTGCAGGACAAGGGGGAATGGCTTCACACTGCAAGAAGGGAAATTCAGGTTGGATATACAGAGGAAATCCCTCCCTGTGAGGGTGCTGAGGCCCTGACGCAGTTTCCCAGATTTGTTGTGGCTGCCCTGGATCCCTGGCAGTGCCCAGGACAGGTTGGGCATTGGAAGGTATCCCTGCCATGGCAGGGTGGCACTGGATGGGCCACTTTAAGGTCCCTCCAACCCAAACCATTCTAGGATTCCATGTTCTCCTTCACCCAGTAATTAACCATTTTGCTGTTTGCACATCAGTAAAAGAGCATGATTTTCCTGCAGTTGCATGGCAAGAGTTGCTTAAAATTCAAATTTTTTAAGCAAACACATCTGCTTTTAAAGGCAGATCCCAGAGCAGTGTAAATAATGCTGCCTTGATCACCTTCCACCCTGGCCTGGCCTGCTTTGATCAGATAAATGTGAAGCATCATGTTTCCCTGCCCTGATCAGATATCTGTGAGGCCTTGAAAGCAGCTTTCCAACACAAATATTGGAAATTGCCCACTGTAATTCCCTATTAGTATTCCTTCTGGAAAAAAAAAAAAAAAGAAAAGAAAAAAGAAAAATGCTGGCACAGCAAATATTTGAGTAACAGTTCTGAAAATTCTGGTGAAGACTGATCAGGAAATGGGGCAAATACAAAGTGGCACCCAGCTGAGAAGCTGAATAAGGAATTTTTCATTTTGCCTTTCCATATTTATTCATCTGCAGGCAGAGCAGCAGCATTAACTGCCACGTGTTGACAGGCACTTCATTAGCTGCACTTTGAAGTGAAAGCTCATCAGAAGATGGATATTTAAGAGAGTGCCTGGAAAGAGAAGCTGGAGCTCAATCCTGCATCTATTGAGTGTTGTGGTTGCTGTTTGTGACTTCAAAAGCAAAGCTACTCTTGACTTTGAATTCTACACCTATCTGAGCCTGGATTCTCTGTCCTAGCAAAAGGACAGTGCATTAAATGTGCCAGAAAAAGAGAAATTCACTGCAGAACACCCCACAGAGTCCTCAAACCAAGCTGAGTTTGAGGCCAACCTGTTACCTGTTGTTTTTTTGTACATCTCCGATCATTTTATTTAGTTTCAAGCTGACTGGGTCACCAGGGTAAGGAAATATAAAATATTATTCTCTTCCAAGAAAACTTAGTAAAGCTACATCAGCCTTTTACAGGTAAAGGAGTCAATGCTCAAACAGGCAGAGGCTGGTTTTTGTAAATTCTTAAGACCAAATTCAGTTTTCTACTGCAGTTTTCAGGAGGGAATTCCTGCAAAAACATTTGGTCTCAGCATGATCCCAGACCTAAGAAGTTCTAACCAAGCAGAAAGGAGCTCATCTGACAAAGTTCAGATTTCCCAGGCTATTGAACTCAGCGCATTTGTGTAAATGCTTTCACCAGCCCTTAATATTTTTGGATGCAACAAAATCTGCTTGGAGTGGTAGAGAATTCCCTAAAAAACTTTCTCTTCCCTGATATAAAGAGCTGAGGGTGATGTAGGAGAAATCAAACCCAGCATTATCAGCTAACAGCAGTGAATGTTTATTTTGATTGCAAAATAAATATTTTATTTTTTCATTTTAATTTGGCTGGACAGATTTTCACTTTTAACAGCTGCCCAC